TAATTGGGAAGAAGCGAAGTTATTGTGATGGCATTATTGAGCGCTGTAGCGCTCCAAAAATGCTGAAGCGGAAGTGGGCTTCATGTGGTTTTTATAAATCAAGCTTTCACCGCTTTGGAACTAGCGTGTTTCAGATCTTTTGGTTACTGTTCAACTGCTAGGAAGGCAAGCAAGTAAGCTTTCGGGCGTCTAATCAAGTAACCCTAGCTTAGCATCTACTACAATGGATTTTGGCTGTACCATGACTCGAATGATAGTACCCAATGCCGAACTCTCAGTTATAGCATCATTTTCATTTTTTCAAGTACAAGCCATGAGACGACTTGAGCCTTTCAACTGCAACATTTGTCTAGGTATGGCCGAGAGACCGATCAATTTAATCAAAAATTACCTCAATCGAATCGAATCGGATCGAAGTTTGCGAAAATTCACAAAGCCGTCACTTGAATCATGTAGAATGTTACATATTACATCATCCGATGGCTTAAACTTTGTGACAAAAAAAAATTCAAAAATTATTTTAAATGCATTCAAATAAGTTCGTAATTAAGTTTGCCCACGTCATACGTAGAACACACCCTCCAAGTTAAACGTTTCTAATATCCGTAGTTTTGGCTATAGGTTAATCCGTCAGTCATTAAGGAGAAATCATTTTATACAAAAAGCGTTTGAAGTTGGTCTTATTGAGTTGTTATTTGAGTTATGCTCTATTTGGTTAGTTATTTCACATTGAGCAGTCTTACTCTGGAGGTTATGTGAATTCGATGCGATTTACACGCTGGAAGAAAATATTGGTAACAAAAAGTGGTCGAATATTGGGCATTTTGGCTGGAGTTTATTCAAGGCAGTTGTGGCGGGCGCCCTAGCCGAGTGGTTAGAATTGGTTACTGTTATTCGGATGGCTCGGGTTCATATCCCGTTACCACCAACATTCAAAAGTTATGGAAAATTAATTTAAACAAAAAATTAAATTAAATTTTTTTATTGAGGTTACCCCTCGGCAGGCAATGTCCATCCCTCCGAGTGTATTTCGGACAAGAAATAAATGTTATTCGTAAAAAAATCATCAGCCGTTAGGAGGCGGCTTAGTATTAACTGAAGGTCCCTCCATTTGTTGGAAATACATCAAGGCGCAAAACACAAATTGGAGTAGGAGCTCCAACGGTTACAAAGCGTCATTTATATATATATATATATATACTTGTAACAGTCACTCAATCAAAATCATTTCAAAACATGTTGGCAAGTTCATAACTTTTTAAGACAGCTAAACTCTTGGTTCTTGGAGCCCAACAGAATGAGGTCATTTTACTTAAGCCGATCTAATCTCGTAGCTGCTTTTCGATGCCAGACTGTAGCTGCAAAATATTACATCAAAGAGTGCTTACCAAAGCTTTTGAAGAATATGCTGTAAAACAGGGAGATAGAAGATTTGTGGCGCTACTTGTTACATCAATTCTTCGAATGGGATCGAAATCTGTAAAAGGAAAGGCTTTTCTACCACAAGGGAACGGGTTAACATTTTAGGAATGAAAATATTTGCGTAAGATGAAAAAGAAGATGGTAATCTTGGCAGATTGGACGACCATAAATTGACATTTTTTATTTTATATTTTTCCAGCTTCAGCTTGAATAAGAAATTTCACTTCGGGATTTCGGATATATGTATCATAGGTATGTATATAGGTATGTATGCATTGAATTTTAAAGCCTAAAAACTTATTTATGGGTTCACATAAATATTTGTCTATGTATGTACGAGTATATATATATAAGTACTTTTAAAGTCCTATGCAACTGTTTGTTACGGTACAAAATTATTTTTGAACTCGGTCGCTCGACAGCATGCAACATGTATGTATGTGCGCAAGTGCATATGTTTATTTTTTACTTTTAAGTGTGTTTTGTATTTTAAGTTTAGTTTGTTTTTTTTTTTGCAATGTCGCTTGTTGTTTACGATTTTAAGCAGAGAATTGCAAGTCGGCACTCAAAAGGCTTTCAGTTAATGTTCATGGCCGTCGGCAAAACAATAACAAGGCAGGCGAGTCACGTCGCAAAGTGCAATTTAGTAGAGAATAGCCGAAGCAGCCGAAGAATGGCGTAGTTGAGGCAAGCGCTGCGAGAAAACAAAGCGCCGTAATGGCATCAACCGCCAAGGTCGCAGCGCGCAAAATGCCAAAATGGCAAAGCCACAGCAAACGAGCGAATGCGCGAGCGAGAGCTGCTGACAACCTATATTTTTGTACAATGCCGGTTGTGACCTATTTGCGCCCTTCACCCGCTGAACTTTGCTGCCGCTACGCGCACTCATCCTGTTTGTGCAAGGTTTGCAGGCAATAGTGCATACAGCCTTTTTTGTTGGACTTTCTCTTTAACTTTGACAAGCGGCGTAGTTGCTGCTTGTGCCTGCAATTCAACAGCTTTCCACATACGAACACAAGCACTCGCACACACACACACACCTGCTGAGGACTCAACCTGAATTTCTGGTATCCTCCATGCGTTGCAAGTTGCTGGTGTTGATGCCAGCCAGCGCTGTAACCACAACCTTTTCAACGTGCCACTTGCTACTCGATGTGGCGCACTTGCTGGCTGGTACGTTGCGGCTGCGGTTTCCGGCGGAGTTCGCGGCGCAGGCGGCAGAAAACAATCTCCGACATTCCATTGTGAGTGATTTACAGTTGCGCACAATTTGCTACGCAAGTAGGTATTGTTGCCCTGCAAGTGGGTGTAAGTGGTTTATTTTCGCTGTGTGTGTATGTGTATAGGCAGTCAAGGCAGTCAAGACAGTTGAGTCGTAAGAAATTCCGCAACAGCCGTAAAAGTTCGCTGCTAAGCGGTCAAGGCCCAAACGAAACATTTGACGGCAGTGCTTACGACGGTAATGTTGCGTGCCGGTTTGCCCAAGCAAAAAAGGTAAAGGCAAAAATGAACAAACAGAAATTGTTGAGGAAAAATGGCTGTTTCGAGTGCGTTTTTACTGCAGCTGGTTGCGGTTGCAACGCTATAAAAGTCGACATTTACACCAGCGGCTGGTTGTTGGACGTGGCCTTTTGCAAGTTGCTATTATTATTGTTGTTGTAGTGTTCGTTGCCCGTTTTGCGTTACAGCTGCAGCTAATTTGCTACAGCGACAGCTGCAAGAGTTTATTTATGACTGAGCTTCGACCAAAAGACCCAACGTGCATTCGGCCAACTACCTCGTATGTTGCCGCGACGAGTTCAATACGAGACACCCTCTGGTTCAGAACAGAGTTTTCAAATATTGGAGTCTAAGAGAAGTGAGAAATAATACCACTTTTAGGAACCTATTTGTGCTGAGTTGAGTTGGGTTGAAGCCATTTCGTTTACCTCATAAAAGCAATGAGATTGCAATTTTCGTTAAAGTCATCTCAGGGAAGTGTTCCCTGAGAAACTTGTGTCGCCTAGATGTCAAGGTTAGAAAGTGACAGAGGCAGTTTTCTATGCATTCCACTACATCTTCGGAATCATAAGAGTGATAACAAATTCTTTTCTCGTGAAGTTCCATTAAATAGTATCGAAAACCGATCCAGAATATACGATGGATTGATTTTCGTCGCGTCGAATGAACTCATTCAGCAATTTTCAGCTTTTCCTCTCTGGTAAAATTCGTTGATTATGGAATAACTTCTGTAACTACTTTTCTTAAATAAAAGATAAAACTGCACCGTGTGCATGTTTTGTTGTAGATAGAAAGGTTCCTTCTCTCGTTAGTCACTTTTAATGTGACAGTGTGTTGGCAGCTTGACCGCCGGGATATATCGTAACTGATTATTCTGCTACCTTTGGATTAAGCAGCCACTCGGCGGTTTCCGTGACTGAAAAGAGTTCTGCTAGGAAAACGGTAGTGTCATGTTGTTGAGTGCATCCATCCATTCCACAGTCTATTGTTTCAGCGAGCTTTGAGTTGTCTGTAAAGATTGCCATGGCTTCCTGATTGAGTACGTTTGTGTTTTCCTATCCAGTTCTTTTTAAGAGTCTCCCGAAAACAAGATTTTGGAAGCCTATACATTGCCCAATTGCAATAGCAAGTCGCTTACTGAAGTTTTTCGAATGTTGATTTTTATTCATTCTAACTACTTTACAATTGGCTCGTAATTTGCTATACAGGTCCAGAGGCAGGAAGCTGAGGAGAGTTAGCAATGTTATTGAGGAAGCTAATGGCGGTGTTCGCGTTACCAGGATAGCAGTCGTCCGTTGAACTCTCTTTAGTTTCCTCTCTTTTGTTGTCTCTATTTCGTTGTGTCTCTTTAGTTTACTCTTTTTAGTTTGCTCTCTTTAGTGTACTTTATTTAGTTCACTTCTTCTTATTTATAGACTTGTTGCGGTGTAACAATTCCTATTTACACACTATCTATTTATTGGGTGGAGTTCATAGCTGAGCTCTGGGTGAGACATTTGGAGATAGTTCGGGATGGCCATTTCCGTTTGTAGCGTTGGAAAATTATGGAACGCTTTGGTTCTTCAAAATTTATTGAACGTGATAGCCGGCCATGGAGTTTTTGGAAATCCTGGTGCTGGTATGCATCTAAGCATGCAATAATGCAATCCGAGTATGTGCCAATGCCGCTTTCACGATTTAGCCGAATCGATATTAGTGTGCCATTCATTCCTTTTTTTCGCTGTTTCGCGGCTATTGGAACTATCAGATCTTTCTCCATCTGACCTTTCATACGGAGTGGAGGCCTTCTCCTTCCTCTGCTTCCACCAGCGGGACTTACGTCGAACACTTTCAAAGCTGGCATCCATTCGGACGACATGACCTAGCCACTTACCCTTGAGTCGTGTCTCTTGTAATTTTCCCATAATAAAACTCGAAATTATATTTTAACTAATTTATTTCTTATTTTTTTCAAAATCTCAATTCTCAATTATCTGATTTATATATTTGTATATATATATATATATATATATATATGCATATATATTTGTATTTATATATGTATATATATATATATATATACAATACATATATCTTCCTAATGTCATAACTATATTTGATTATACACTACTTAGTTGCAATGGTTTACAAACTAGATTTTAAGTTAAACTTTAATTGCACACAACTAACGGTATTTGTTTTTTACATTCTCATGCTGTTCAACTGACTGTGAATTTAGTGATTTTTCGCTTTTTAACGTATTTCATATATATATATATATATATATAGGTATGTAGGTAAGTATGTACTTGTACTTATACAACTAACGCCATAACTTACGGAATATCAGTGTACCAACTAACCAATGCGGTTTAGTAACGGTAAAGAATACGGCGTCGTATATACTTGTGTGTTTGTATGTATGTATGTTTGTTCGAATGTATGTGTGTGTATTTTAAGAGATAATATAAGCAGTTAAAAATACTTTAGTTTCTTGTCTAGTCTAAATGCACACTAATGTAAGTCTACACCGTTACTTTGCTATAGTTTATTTGAAATTTTTGTTGCCTCCTTATATATTATATATAATATATGTATGTTAGTAATTTAAATACTAGAATTTTCATTACAGAGAATTTTACGCTTAAGAATATTTAGATTTTAGGTAAGAAATATTTGTATGTGTTTATAAGTGTGTGTACTTCTATGTAAATATATATATACATTTAGAGCTAAGTAGTTGACATAAGGATTTATGTATGTATGTCTGTATGTATATGCGAGTAGAACTTTTGAGAGTTGTGTAACAGAATTTTCCAACTGAAACTCTAATTTCTTTATTAAAAAAATACGAAAGATTATTTTCACATTTATATGCAAGTATGTGTGCATTGTATTTGTATAACAGTACTGCTCAATTGACACAATTTCCTGGATGAAAGTTCTTCCCCACAGAAAATGCTCGCCTTAGTCTCATTAGCTCTTGAATATATCTGACTGCGTTTCATTCAGACGCTTCAGCATCGCATTTCGGTGCAGCCAATATGGCGGCGGATCGGGCGGTTGCCCAGGCAGCAGCGTTTTCGTTTTCAGCGTACTCGTTTTCGCGTTCGCGGCGGGTGGTGTATTCGCCGCAAGCGCTGCATTGAACATCACAGGGTCGGCCAACTGTGCCGAGTGTCCCACGGATACACGCATCGGCACCTCCTTCTTGCGTATCGTCTCACAGGTCTCTTTCATTTTACACAGTTGATCCTGCAAGTTTCGATACTCTTCGAGAAAGCGTTCTAGCTGCGCGGCGTGATAGTCATAGGCCGCCACTGTGGATGTGTTCGTTGTGGGATGCATTGAAGATGAGGCCGCGGCTGCAACGCCGGTCGCCGGCGCTGTAGTTACGCCTGTTCGTGAAGTGAGCGAGGAGAAATCCAATAACGGCGTTGCAGCCGAACTGAAGGAACGCTGATGTTGATGCGCATCGTGTATCGGTGAGGATGGCAGACTGGGATTGCGCCGCACACCACTGAGGCTCATTGCTGTCGCACCGTTGATACTCATATTCAGATTTCCTTTATTGGTGCTTTGCACCAAATTGAGAAAACTATTTGAACGCTGCCCGCTGGTGTAGGTGGATGTGCCAACGTAGTTGGAGTATGAGGATTCCGCTGAGAAGCGCCTGCCCAGCGTCAGCTCGTTTAGGAAGCTGGCATCACCCAACGTGCTGCTGCCATATTTACTTGAGTTGTCCGCCAACAACGGCGATTGGCTATCCGTTGAGCTTTTAAAGTATTTGCCGGTGTTTTTCAATTTTCGCGGCAGCGTACAGAGTGCGGCGTTCGCTGAACTACCCGCTGCTGCGTTGATGACACTCTGTGCGCTGTTATTGCTGTTGGTCGCTTGTGCCACAGCGTACTTGGCGATGTCCAACAGATCGGGGTAATTACTATCGAACAGATCATTCTCGACGCCCTCACCACTACAGAATACTGAAGTGCTGACATCATCGTTGTTGTTGTAGTAGGCATTATTATTTGCACCCAACGTTTGTCCGACTGCACGTTTGCTATGTGGCGAAGTGATCTTCGTGGTGGCAATGGGCGTGGTGGTCCAATTGGGTATGTGGTTGTAACCGCCCAAGCGGGCTGCGGCATCCACTTGGCTTGATATCGAACTAGAAGCCGAGTCGGAACTGCAAAGAGAATAAAATTAAGTTTAAAAGTACAAGTAAAGGTAGGAAAAATTTAGGTAAGAAAAACGAAAGAGCTTGAAAGGCAGATTAGCTTCAAAGTAATTTTTAAGATGTCGCTTCCAAATATTGCGGGAAAAGCGATATTCAAAATTACTTTTATTTTTAAGATATATAACATACCCTCATGTCGTGAAAAGCATGGGTTGTGATCGGACGATGACCTATCTCTTCTATCTAAAATGCTGTTACATCCACGAGCTTGTTAGGCACAGATATGGTGGAAGTTTCTGAGCTGAGCTACTCGAATGCTTAGTTAGAGGTCACTTCGAAAAAAAAAAAATTTCGGTGGAGACACTCGGAAATAATCTCTGTAAGAGTTAAGATCTTATTGAAGTGTCTCTCAGCCAGAGCTGAAGGTGCAAGTGAATTTCGAAGCAAACTGCTAGCTATGTATATAAGATTGTCATGTAATGAGACTAATTATATTGCCGCTATTGTGGTAACCCTCCGACCTTGAATTTCTCTTTCTCTCTCCCGGCATTCTTTTGCTCTCTACTGATATATTTGCCATCGCTTTTGATTGCTTAGTTCGCCTGCTGTGCCCTGTTGAGTGATCGTGTGTTCGTGGTGTTCGTCCCGAAAATGGAAAAACGAAATTAAGAGCAAAACGACGCGATAAAATTTTGCACCAAAGTGGGCGAAGCAGCTTCGGCAGCCTTCGTTAAAATTGTAAAAGTGCATGGGGATAGTGATTTTAGTCGTGCGCAGGTGTTTCGATGGCAAAAGACTGTGACTTTTTTTGTTCCCTAGAACAAACGTGGTGGCCAAAAGAACCCATTTTGAGTCAATCGGGTACTGGTAGACATCCCAGTCGAAGCGTTCCAGTAATGAATGTTACGAAGTATCGAAAACGTGCTGGAATCATTGGATAGCTTCCTAATGGGACTACTTCAAAGGGTACGGCAGAGTTGTAGAATAATTTTTAATCATACGGTTTTTATGGAATCAGTGTCATTACTTTATTGCCACTTCTCGTATCAGGCGCTTGGGCCGGTTGTGCTTTGGGTTTGGGGCTGTGCTTATGTCAATAACGGAAGCCGCGGAATAGATGCTAAAACCTTACAAAGCAGCAACTCATTATGTTCTCGGACGGTCAAGGCAGGCCTCCAACAGATCTAATAAGTGCAATTAGACCGCATCAGAGGTGGCGTTAAAAGCGAGAAATTCTTTGAGGAAGCACTTGATTAAGAGCAACACAGCTTTAGTATGGGTGCCAGTACATAGAGCATCCCAGGCTATTGAACATACTTTTTTTGACAGAAAACTCATTCTGAAACTGGCATTCAATAGTCAATATCAGATCATTTATGGTAAGAACCTGCAACGTGGTTAGATAGCTTTGACTAGTATCATCATCAGTGCACTGTTTAATGGACTTCACGGCTTCACGGTGGGAAAATGGAACACTTTTCAAATATTTTCTGTCGCAACTGCAGAGCCCAAGGGGAGAAAGAAACTATCGATCACTAGTCGCTGTTATTGTCCAAATTTAAAACCTATAAATCTCTTGGAAATCACTTTTTTTGTTGACTGGATAACGAAGCTATAGATCCTCCTTCTTTACTGGCGTAGACACTGCTTACGCAATTGAAGCGGAGTTAACAACAACTGCTTGGCGCCAATTGGAAATAAAAATAATGGTCAGTTTCTTCCCCATCTCGTCTCTGCAACAGAGCGGAGGAGTGTTGCATCGCTATTTTTTGTCTGCACCTCGTAATGTATTCTTCAGCAATCAATTGAAGAAACCACACGATGACTGAAACTTCGTTTTTAACCGAATTGCTTATCCCTTGCCAATTGACGCAAAATATGGGATCTTCTTGTTTGTTGATTGGGCTGGGCACACTTAGGTTCAGTCATCAATAGCTCTGCAGCAGAAGATGGTGAATACACTTCAACATATTGGTACTTTAGGCCTGATTACGCCGATCTCTCTGGCGGCAGTGATAATTCACTGTGGTCCCGACCAGAGCCACTCAATACGCCCATGTAAGGCTTGTGCTTGTGGGGTGCTTTCACATATTCTAATTGCTTTTATGTAGCTTCACACATGTGTGTGTATGAGTGTAGCCCTAATGATGTCCCATTTAGTGTATATATGTGCTTACTTGACACATGGCTGTCGAGATGCTCAAGTGATAAACGCACGAAAATAACACGTGCTAATGATGTGCAAAATGTTTGCCTCGGAGGAGTTGTTGTTATATGCACTGAATGTACGGCTACAGAGTGTCCCAACTGCGTTAATCATTTCTTGAAACATATATGTATATATGTATGTATGTATGCACTTAGTAGACACACACCAAGCCAAACATTTTACTTTGAGTATCCCCAAACCTGCCTCTGTGCTGGAGCCGAGCTACCGTGCAACATCAGCAGATGCAATGTATTTATAATATATACGAGTACATACATCTGTGTGTGTATGTATCCCGTTTCGATGCTTACATTGCCATTGTTAACTGTTGCATGAGTTTGTTCCACAGCTTGCTGCAGGCATTTTGCCAAATTGGTTAGCTACTCGCTTGCCTCTTGCCACATGTATGGTCTAAAGATAGCCCTCATCCTCAGCCTTTCATCCGTCGCTGCACCACTTGAGATTTTCTTTTCTTGCACTTCTTCATTTATTTTTACCCATCTCATCCTTTATCTCGCTTAGATCGCAAACTTTTCGTTAGTGTTTTGTTTTCACTAATTTTGTTGCAACTCTTCGTGCTCTTTTGTTGATTTACTTTACTTTCAACTATTCGTTGTTGCACACACACACACACACACACCCACACATACTCGTATTTGAGTTTCCATGTATTATATATGTGTTTAACTTTTGTTATTCAGCGGTAGCTCCTTGTAATGTGTCTGCTTTTGTTATGCTTCTCGCCCACTTCAGCTGCTACTCGGTGATTCCACTTCGTGTTGCAGTTTCACTATACCAACTTTAACAAAGAAAAGCATTTCCAGCTCACACACCCCCTCCCGCACACGGCCACCCCTGATCTACGACAATGTCCAACTAACTTTCCGGCGTGCATATTTCATATCATTCATTAATTTGAAGATGCAATTTAAGAAAGTTTCCACTTTCTGCTAAGATATTTTGCGGCTTTGTTGCTCGTGCACAGTGGGAAGGAAGCGACCACATTAAATTTTGTTGCAATTAAAGCTGAATGGTTTAAACTCGCTAACACATTTGGGAAATCGAGAAACTGAGGAAAATGTATTTGCTAAGTTTGTAAAGGGTGTTTCTTTTTTTTGAGATCTGTAGTTTTCAATGAGGTAGTAATTTTTTCTGAGTCTTGCACCAAGTCTACTCCAAAGTATAATGTGCGTCCTCAGAAGACCCCGAAAGTGGATTGGAGGCTCGCAAAAATACTGAGTCCATCCAGTATTGGGCACATTATTCAAGCTTTTGCGGAAAGATCTTGGGTTTTGGGCTTACATAATCCAACTCGGAGGAATTGAAGCCGAAGAGCTATCAAGCGCGTCACACGTTCGGTGAATGGGCTCAAAAAGACAATTTTGTACAGTGATGAAGCTCAATTTGTATTCAATGAGTACGTCACTGAATTAGATTGTCTTACTCGGAGTGATGATAATCCAGAAGCCAATGCTTAGACGCCGTTAGATACTCAAAAGTCACTGTCTGGCTTGCTCTTTGGTCAGATGGAATCATTTGACCATATTTCTTGAAAAATGTTAAAGCCAAAGGGGAGCCATGATTAATGATTTTTTTGTGCCGGAATTGATGGATGTTCCTGTTGTCGGCTCTCGGTTCTAACACGTTGCCGCTAAATGCCAAACAGGCAATGAAACAATAAATTTTTGTGAGCGTCGTGGGCCTATGGCGTGGCGTCAAAGGTCGTTCGAAATATTGTTTGTGTGGTTACGCGAAACCACTTGTCTTCCCCGATCAGGCTGCTACGAATGAAGTTTAGAAAAAGAACATTTGGCGCGTTATTGTTGATATAAGTTTGGTCTCAAAAATGGGTCGAAATTTGGGCATCTAGTTATGAAGCAGCCACAGCAGTCCCTTAGCTCCCCAAATCATTCAAAGTAAACTTATAACTGTATGCTGCAGTTAACCTCTTGGCCAAAGCAATAAATCAAAAAAGGAATCAGGGAAGTTAGTTTATGGTCGATATTACGTTAGGAACACTCATAAATAGTTATTATCAATAGATGAGGAAAAAAGGATGTTCGGGTACGCGACTATGACTGCTATCATCAAACATGACGGCGAGGGACTTAGAAGGTGTGAGCATCAGCTTCCTTCAGCAATCTATTCCTATACTGTGTGAAAGAGAAAAGTAAGCCAAATCCTGGGAAAAACTGGGAAGAAAGATATCCATAAAAAAAACACCGCTTACGTGATTATAGCCGAATCTATATTAGGGCGCCGTTAATCTCTTACTTTCGCTCCTTGCCGCCAGTTGGAAATACCAAGTGAAGCCAGGTCGCTCTATACCTGGTCTTTCCATCGCAGTGGAGGACTTCCTCTTCCTCTGCTTCCACCGGCGGGTATTGCATTGAAAACTTTCAAAGCTGGAGTATTCGCATCCATACGGATCACATGGCCAAGCCAACGTAGCCACAGCTTCTTGATTCGCTGAATTATGCAAATGTCGCCGTATAATTCGTACAGCTCATCGTTCTATCGTCTGCGATATTCGGCGTTGCCAAACCGCAAAGGTCCATAAATTTTACGCAAAATCTTTCTCTCGAAAACTCCTATCGCCGTCTCATCGGATACGGTCATCATCCATGCTTTCGCACCATATAGCAGGACGGAAACGATGAGGGACTTGCAGAGTTTGGTTTTCGTTCGTCGGGACAGAACTTTACTTTTTAATTGCCTACTCAGTCCAAAGTAAAGCCTTTTAGGAACAGTGATTCTGCATTGGATTTCAAGCCTGACATTATTGTTGGTGTTGATGCTTGTCTCTAGGTAGACGAAATTATCTACGACTTCAAAGTTATATCTGTCAACAGTGACGTGGGAGCCAAGTCGCGAATGCGATGACTGTTTGCTTGATGACAGGAGATAATTCGTCTTGCTCTCATTCACGACAACACTTCAGTACTGGAAGTTTTCGGTTTGTACCCGCTAACGCAAGCAGGAGACGATGAAGACACTCACTGCCTTTAAAGTTGCAGATGAAGCGAGACGGGTCTTCATTGCTTGTCTCGAATTGGCACTGATTTTCTCAGAAGAAGAAATTAAGGGTGCGCCAGCCCAAGCCCAGGGAGAAAGAGTGCAGTCCACAGATTAATATTTAGAGAGTAATGAGAGTTGGACAGTTTAAGTGTATGAATATTGAAAAAAAACCAGCTGAGTTCATTAACAGCTTATCCCACCTTTTAATATAATTAAATGAAAAGATAAGAATTACAATTGAACTTACCCGCCAATTTCAATGAGTCTTGGTATGTGCAAGTCCGACTGCTGTGGTCCCGCATCACCTTCGTACTCGCCATTACAGCTGCCAGCAGTTACTTTCCGTTTAAGATCCTGTGGGCTAGCGCGCATTCCCGTCAATACCACCGCAGAACCACCCGCACCCAGGCCTGCTCTCCAACGAGTCGCCACTGATGTCTGATTTGCGTGTTTGCCACCCGCATAACTGATTTTCGTAGTCTGGTAGTTGGCATCCAACCCATCCTCGTCATCATCACAGTGTGTGGGTATATTGCGATAATCGCCATTGCGTTTTGCACTGCCACCGCTTGGGTTCACAATCGCCACACCCGCATCGCCGCCATCATCTGAGCCACAGTTGAGCGGGGTTGTGGCCGTATGCAGGTAATCGTTGTCGTCGTTAGGAAATAAACCAACACCACCGACCCCGCTACCACCACCGTTAGTATTGCAAAAACTACCAGTAACATCAGCGCCACCGCCCGTCGAACCGCCACCCAAATCTGGCTTCCGATTGCCCAATATACCACCGCCACTGCTACCGTTTGGGCCGTTGCCGCTACCACCGCCGCCGCAGACACGTGATGTCATCTCGATTTTTTCGTAACTCTCAGTACGCGCTGGTGGCACTGAGTTCCACAGACGCATCTTGCGCTTACGACGTAACGAACAAAAGCAAATGGCAGCAAAAGAGGAGCCGACCACAAACAGCAACGCTATGAAGATGCACAAAAGCACAATTTTTGCACCCATAGGCGCTTCAGGTGGGCGCCGTGAAACAGCCAACGTAACGGACGCCTCCACCTTGCCAGCTTTGTTTTCGGCGGCGCAGGTATAAATTCCCGCATCCTGCATGTCCGCGGTGAGTATGGTCAGATTGGAGGCATTTCGTAACATGTTCACTACATACGTCTTGCGTCCTTGTGTTGCGGCCGCAGTACGCGGACTGGCGGATGGATCACCTGACGATGTTAAGTTCGCAATCACACGGTTTTTCACCATCCAACGCACCGATGGTTCTGGTACGCCCTCCACAAAACAGCTCATCGTCACATTGCGTCCCTCCACGCCATGCGCCGTTGTGTCGGTGGCAATTATCTGCGGCACGCAAGCAAAGTCATCTAGGTCGATTTTATCCCAAGTTTTGCCCGCTAGACGTGCAGGTGCACGACACAGCGGTGGTATGCCGTATGGTATATTCTCGCGCAGCATCCAGGCACGCAGCGGTCGTAGCGCACAAGAGCAATTCCACTGATTGCGTGCCAGTTCGATACCGTGCAAGTTGGTGAGCGATGTTATCGTGCCCGAACGCACCTCACTCAATTTGTTGCCATCCAATTTTAGCCATTCCAGCGTAGTCTCCAGACCGGCGAAAGCGCGCACCTCTACCGTCGTCAACTTACAGTCGGACAGCTCCACACGCACCAGCTGCGGCACATGGCCGAAGGCATCGTCTTGTACACGCGTAATGGGATTACCATTGAGTTTAATTTCTCGCAGTTCGGTTATGAATTCAAACGACTCTGTGGGTATGCTGCTTAGCAGATTGTAGCTCAAATCTAGTTCGACCAGATTGATGAGCTTGCGAAAGGCAAAACGTTCGATCACACGCAAATGACACTTGGCCAGATAGACCTTCTGTAGATTGAGCAGATTGACCGCAGCAAAGGTGTCGTGCGGTATGCTAGCGATATCATTGCCAGTCAAGTCGAGAACCTGTGTACCGGCATCCAGTGGCACCGGGATATGTGTTAGATTCGCATTAAGGCACAAAACTGACTCTTTGCCGCTCTTCCACTTGCACTCGCACATGCTGGGACAATCGGCCAACGTTGGATGCGCCAAACTCAGACAGCAGAGCAGCCAGAGGAGTTGCGCAAGCGGGATTGTGAGTAGGTTATGTAGGGATATCTTAAATGCGGGTAGTAACAATTGAAAGCTGCTCCGAAACTGTCGGCTCGCTGGTATTTGCCGTGATTTTCGACGCACCTTCGTCGCCAATGTTATCTGACATGCGCTGCTGCGACTAACGCCGCAATCGTTGCATTTTCCTTGTTCACCTCTAAACACTGTATGCACTCCAGATGGTCGGTCGTTGTCGAAGTGTGGGTTGTGTTGCGCACAATTGCATGGTTGTGTGGTTCGTTTGTGGCGGGCCATGGCATTTCCGGTCGGTGTTGTGTATGAACTGTGACTTGCAGCTATGCCACATTGAGGCGATTGTGTAATGATGCGAGATCCGTGTAGAGCATAAGACCGTAGCGTGTGTGCCTCTACTGAGACTGGGTCTACGGAATACAAGTTGGCAGGTGTGATATTGGCATTCGAAGTATTGGGGAATTTCGTATTTAAATTTTGATGTTTGCAATATTTGCACTGCCATGCCAGCTGGCTTTAGACTGTCTAGCGGAGGAGCAAGTGTGGCGCGAGGAAAAGCGAAGGGTGAACCGTTTTAACATTTCCTTAAGCGTTTGTGGTGATAAATGTTGATGGGCCTGCAAAGTGAACGAAGAAAAAACCGTCAATTTTACTGGGTTAAAATATGAATTATTCATAATGCGCTTCATGTACAGTTAAGAGTCCATATACTAGAATACAATATACACATACTCGTACATGAAAATGAAATTATATGCTTTCGCTGATAATTTATTTCACTGCATATTTCTCCTAGCTTCAGTCCAGCCCAGCCCAGCCGTAAGGCTTTGCCTCTAGGTCTAGTTTCACTCCTCTTACCCTCAATCATAAGTGAACAACTTCACCTGCTTTCTTTGTTTCACTCTTGTTGTGCGCTTTTTGTGGCGCCTCAAGCAGCCACAGCATAATCTAAACAGTGCAGCTGCAATAAACTGTAAATATTTGACATTTTAATAATGTGCTTAAGTGGTAAAACTAAAGTATGTACTTGCCATTAACTGACAGCGGTGGCGTCGCCGCTCTTGCCTTTGTTGTTTGTGGCGAGCGCAAAAAGTGCAACAGTTATTATTTAGTTTTTCTCTTTTCTCCTTTCTAACTCCGGGCAAGCCTCACTTTGTTGTAAATACTTATTTCGCTCAGCGCTATGTATCGGTGTTTGTATATAAGTAAATGCTGTCGCGTGTATGTGTGGTGTGCATGCATATGTGTGTTTAGTTCTGTAATGTTGTGTGGTGTTAAAGCCATAACTGTCACTTGGTGTTAGCGCGATTTCTTGCCTTCTTACCGCCACAGGCTTGACACTTTGCAACAACTTGGCACTTTTTGCTTTGCCACACTTTGCTAAAGCCGCGCAATGGCAGTGACTGTAATAGTTGGTTTTAATATGTAATGGATTGTATATGTACATAGTGTATATGTATTTGTGTATTAGGGTGGGGAATTGCTAAGGACCCTTGTTACAATAGATGCGGATTTAAAGCAATCAAAAATGTCCTAAAACGCTAGCTCTACAGCCACCTAATTCCTTTCCAAAATCTCGGAACAAATTCTGTACACACACAGCATTGATAAGCGCTAGCCATCACATCAAAGGTGTGGCATGCTTATACGAAGGGTAGATGCGCTTAGACTACACTTCTGTCACTTACTACAAAGCAGAAAGAACTCTGAAGCATAAGAAGACCGTATGCTAGACATAAGCGGAACATTTATTTATGCCTCCAATGAGGTAAAAGTTGTAAGTGTAGCAGCAACGCGAAGTGGAACGCAGTCAGACGGTGCAGGCACCACTCCTCAGTCTACTCAAAGCCAAAATGCTTCTCGCAAAACTCGAAGGGAAAGCAGCCAAATTTATTGCAAAGCGCTCTTTGGCTCCTTTCTGGGCGGTCAACATCTGCTAACTTAGTGGTAAATCGATACGGTACTGTCTCCCAAAGATTCAAAATCCCCGCATGATGCAATGCACCCGAAGCTTAACAGGAAATGGTAAAAAAGGCCAATGGAGGAGGTTGCTCTCATGCATTGGTGTCACACAGCGGTAGTAAATTCGATATTGCTCTAAGCCTCTGTCCCGCTGCCGAAAAAATGTTGTGGGAGCAATAACAGCAGCTCGCTGGGCTCTATATAACAGGTGCCAAAGATAAAGACCAGTCGAATGGCGGCACTTGAAAGTACATTAGACCTGGAAATTTTCGGACACTGTTTTTTTTTTTTGGCAGAGGGAACTGTGACCGACTGATATCAACAGCCGCTGGAAACGAACTAGTTTGATGATTCGCGCCCATTTTTGGCACAGTAACTAAGGACAGCTTAATAAGAAAAATTGCTAATATTGAGCGCGGACATTTTGTACTGAACCAACCAAAAACAAAAATCTCAATAAAGAGCACTTTGGTGAAATTTAACTACAGAACTGACAGCTTTAGCTGAATTATCTACTGCAATCTTCGGGTACAGCTCAATTCGCAGGGGAATAGAAAAAGAATTAGCTACATACCCTCACGCTGAACCTAAGGAAGAATGTTTCCAACTACGTTCAAGAAAGACGCATGCCGCAGGAACGTGCAACTCGCTAGTGTAACCTAGAGTAATACTTATGGGTCAAAACTGGCAGGTGGAATGGGCATTAGACTCTATAGCCAGACCTCAGACAACCTCTCAAATATTCAGAGTATTTCTGTATTTTTCAGACGAAGGTCTTCACTATAGGAAAACTACTGAAATTCAAGCTGTTTATATTAATTGACTACCCAAATTTTATTACCTTCGAATGAATTTATAACGAAAAACACCGTTTTTGCAAGTAGAGTTTAGATTAGCGACTGACGCTCCGCTATATCTTTTATTCGAACATTATTCTTACTACACACATACCTGACTTTAGGATATACAAAAAATGAAATTAAAATGTCCGTCGTTTCCATAGCGCAAAAACTCTGTTTGAAAAAAAAACATAGACCTCGGTGAAAAACGTTCTGAGTTAACCCGGTGTAAATACCCAAAATGTGAGTAATTTTAAATATTAAATCTTGATTAATAAGAAATTTATGGACAAAAAATTTACCCCAAATTTGTCAAATTATCTTTGTAAACTTTCCTTAAGAATTTATCGAAAAAAAATGTTAGTTATTTTTAATTTTGTCGTTATATTTTTTTATTCGTAGCAGCGGCAAAGCTTTGTTTTCTAAAATTAGAAAAATTTGACTGCCCTAATGAGTAAATACATAGTTTTTTGTTGAGTACAGTTCCAGTGTTGCATAATAATAATAAACACGCAAAATCTATTACATATTTCCCAGTAAACTATAAAGTTTTATTGAAATATCACAATTGCTAAATAAGTGTAGCCCACCGAACTCACTGGCAGGAGGACTCCAAAGTCTGCACTAGCAATTATAGAATAAGTCTCCTTTACTTTTAATATAAGGTCTTACCAATAGGAATGAGAAATATATATTGATATAGCGATCGAATTCATATATAATCCGTAGCTGTTCTTTTACTGAACTATCTGCAGTAGTTTCTGAGAAAATGTTTTTGACCTCACATTTAGGTACTGAATATCCCGTGATCTTGGTTTGTTGTGACATATTTACAATGACGGTCGGCACTTGTGACCCCGAGAATGTGCGACATAAGTTTTACCAAAATATTTCAATCAAACCAGGCTGACAGCGAGACGAACGGATGGACAGGCAATCTCAAGTGGATAAAGTGTAGTGGTATTTAGAGTAGCTTTAGTTAAATAAAAATAATGAAATATATGCACAACTTTCAGCCCAGCATAAAAATCATTAATAGTCATTGAGTTTAAGTTCATATCATGCAGCAACAAGTCGTCTATCAATATCTTTTTTGTTTCGTTAATTTTTATCGTTGGGTACTTATTTTGCTTTTAATATTACATTGTAATAAGAGCATTAAGCAAAATAAATAATTCCCTTTATTCAAAAGTTACTTTCTGTGCGATTATGACTCGTGTCGCTTAGTGATTTTGCTGTTTTTATAAATTGTGAGTGGCAGTTTTCGTGTTTTCGTTATAGCAGGCGCAGAGTGCCACATGCACATGCTGCTATACTGTGGCCTCTCTAATCCTCGCACAAACTAAAATTCATATGTCTAGTTTCCAGCTAACACTGCTTGTAAACATCAACAACATGGGCCAACTGGCAGCGAGTTTATTTAATAATAGTGTTGTGAAAATGTTGGCAAATGCACGATATAAATAAAATAGCTTGGGCATGTGCAGGGGCGTATACGTAACATATTAGAGCATTTCCGCGATAATTCATATTTTGCTGCGAGAAAATTTCTTCATTACTTCTTGTGCTATAATCACCCAACCACTGGTGGTAATCGGTAGTTCTAACTGCAAACAAAAAACAAACTTAAAATGACGTCCGTTAAGAGTTTGTTTGTCAAGTAAATGCGCATTGATAATAATCCATCAAAGACAGTAGATAGGGTAATGTAAATAAAAAAATCTTGCAGGAGTATTGAGGTAAACGGACTTTGACGCGCTCTTCATGCAAAAAGTACTTTAAAATGAGAAACAAAATTATTAACTCAGCTGAAAATAACTTAGAATATATGACACATCGTAGGTTTCTTACTTATAACCAAACTCTAAGTATGTTCTTGAGAAGCAAGCAATCGCCCAGAAGCCCCAGGAGCGCTCAGCTTTGGCCAACAGAGGGTTAATTGTGTTTCATCTGGACAATTCCAGATCACACATATTGACAGGTTCTCACCAAAAGCTACTGGAGTTTAACTTGAAGCCTCTTATATATATAATTGGCGCTTTGTAACCGCTGAAGAGATTTTCGGCCGAGATCCTCATCCAATTTGTGGTTTTGCGTCTTGAAGGGACTTACAATTTATTCTAAGTCGCTTAGGAACGGCTGTTGGTTTTCTTATGAGGAGCCTTTATTTCATGTCTAAAATACAATTGGAATATTGCATCCTCTGCCGAAGAAAGTTTTGCTTAATTTTTTATTTAATTTTATTTTCTATAACTTTTTGGATGTTAATACGACACCAGGATTTGAACCTGAGTTTTTCGAGTAGCAGTACGCAATGCTAATCATTCGGTTGACGCGACTGCAGCATTTAAGCACCTAAAATAATGACTGAACCTTTCATAAAGTGATTACCATCATTTCATGTCTATGATAACTAATTTGGCCTGAGAAGAATCGAAATCGAGGGAAGACTGTGAAAATCGAATGTCCCAAGATTTTGCCAATAGCGACAAGGGTTTCTATAAGAGATTATTTTATTAGCGATTCGATTTGTTGGAAATTTTGCACATATGAATTCATGCTTTTGTCTAATTAACAGCAGGAGAAGTCTGTCTTCTACGAAGTCTACGGGAAACTGCTCTTTCTCACAAGCTCGATGGCGAGTCAGGTATTGATGTTATAAAAAAAAAAAAACATGTTTATGGTTTGGTGTAAAGGTGGTTTGGTACATACATGATCTTTTTATCTCGGAAAATGGAATTGGAACTGAGTTCTTCGATTCTGCCTTGAGTAAAGTGGACCATATACCGATATTTTTAAGTCAAATATTTTTGTTAA